AAGTTACATAAAACAATACCTATTCTTAAAATATAAAATATTTTATCTCTCGATCATCTTTAATTATTATAAAACATGAAAAAATCGATTGCTCCGAGTCGAAGACTCGGAGTGATCAATTTCTTTATGTTTTATAACAATGTTTTTAAAGTTGTTAAATTTCTATAAGGTTTGAGTTTGAAATTTTTGAAAATCTTAATTCCTATGGAAAAATAATTGGATTGTTTAAAATTTAACTCACTTTATTAAATTATTTTTTTTAATTGCAAATTTTAAATAAATCGACAAAAAGGAAAATATAATTAATAGAAAAAAAAAGATGAATGAGTATATTTATTATATCGGGAAAGAATTTTCTAATTTTGTCTTTAATAATACATAATTAACGCTTATACTATATTATAATTAAATTATAATTAATTGAAAATTTATTATCTGGAATAAAAGTTCTATATTGAAATATGAAAGTATTTCCTGTCAGTTAAGAATAGTTCAGGTTTGACTATATATGCATTATTTTCCCGGGTGCAATATGCGCTCCAATTCATATTATGATAAGTGGAATAGTCTGTGTCAAACTTTATTCATTTCACCTCGACTTAATTTATAAATTAATGCATTCACGATTCAGACCAAAATGTGAAGTTTATAATGTTACGAGACCAATGTTTGACTTTATATTTCACTGGAAATGTCACAGACATAAGTATTAATATTAAGCTCCCTTTTTAATTTTTGATTCTCTCTTTTGAAACTATATTGAATATCAAATGTTTGAGAATTTTCATTAATCCTAAATATATGCAAGAAAAAAAACGAAACTTTGTATTTTATAATGTTTATTATTTGTCTTTCTTTATATTCTTAATTTTCATTTATTATTTACAATAATTAATTATTATTTTATTTATAAACACAATTTTTCTTTATGCTACAATTTTTATTAATTAATTAATTTTTTTATAACTTTATTTTTTAAATTAATTAATTAATATCAATATATTTACATAATGTACCTATACATAATATAACAAAAAAAATCTTCAAGCATTTTTTTAATTTTGTAAATTAATGTTATTTTAAAAACAGTAAAAAGCAGAAAGCAATTAAAAAACCTCCTTTTAAATATATATTTTTTAAAAACGTTACAGGAATTTTTTTAACATTTTTGTTGCACTCTGATTAATGAATTTTAATGAAACAATGACTCTGGATTTATCAAGTGAAGTAAATTCAATTAGTGAAATTGTTTTGTGGCGTGGAAAAGGAGACAAGTCTGGACATATGATGAAAAAAAATATGCGAGAAAAAAGGAACAGTCTATTAAGCCTCATCATTATGAGTAATGATATTATCACCTTGGCCTGCTCTATAAACGCACTAAACGAATCAATTTGAAATCCAAAACATTTTTTTCATTCCCAGAAACGTAATATTACTTTCTATTTTTCTCTTTTTTTATAGTAAAAAAATATTTTTTTTTGTAGTTCATTTACAAATTTTTTTAGTTTATTTATTTTTCGTATTCAGTACTTTCAAAAAATTCATTACTCTAAATTTTAATTAGTTAAGAATTAATTTGTTAGCAACATTTTTTTAGTTTATTTATTTTTTTATTTTTAGTTATTTTGAACAATTTCATATTTAGAGAATGATGAAAATTTTGTGAATAAATGAAATATATTTTGAATATTTATATTTTATTTTATACATTGAAAAAAAAAAAAATTGCAACACAAAAATATTTTCCTATTCTCAATATATATATATAAAAGCATGTATATATTTTCCTGGGGAACGGGAAAAGAAAAATGCAACAAAGAAAAACTTTTTCATAAGCGAGGAAAACCAGTATGACTTGAGAACAAAACTTGTTTAGAAGTGCATTTATTCGCAGGGTAAAGCAAAATTCACGATCTTGAAAGTTTGACAATGGAGAACGACTTCCGGACAATCTAGTCTCAAGATTGGCTGCTATATACTGTAAAAAGTTTTCTCTCACTCGAATCAGGCAAAATGTTTTGCAAAATTATCTCTCTCCACTTTTGCTCGACCAATTTTCAACTTGTGTGTCTGGTATATATATTCTGTACAAATTACATTTTCCACCCCCCCTCAACTTAATTAGCCCTTCCAATTTTCTATGTAAAATTTATTTATTTCTCCTGCAAAATAATATTTGGAAACAAAATTATTTATAAATATATTTATTAAAATGTTTAATTTTAATATACACAATTTACGGAAATTTTTTTCTAGTTTTCAATTTAGTGTATAAAAATAATAGTGTAAATAATAGTGTATTATAAACTATTATATTAAATAATAAATTATTTTATATTTACTAATTCAAATTCAGAGTGTAATATTTGTTATAATAATAAATATTTTTAATTTAATAATTTAATTTTAATATAATATATTTTTTTATATAACATTTATTATTGTTTTATTCTTTTTATTATTATATTAAGGGCATTTGAACCACAGTTTTAAAACTGTGACAATATGGTTCAAATGCCTTTAAATTAAAATAAATAAAATTTAATTAGTCTCAATTTGAAAAAAATCCTTTTTAAAAATATTCTTCCATTGTGGTTCTGAAAACTTTTTATTAGATTTCTCTTTTTTATAAATTAGTTTTACATAAAAAATTACGAATGCGGAAATGTAAAGTCGCATTTTTTATTACATAATTTCATCTTTAGAAAACATTCTCTCATCTTTTTTTTTTTTTTTTGTTATTTTTATTTTTTACACAAAAGCAACAAATCTACTTCTTTAGTTGACGAGGCAAGTAATGCTAATAATAGGGGGTCCAACGACGTCTGGATTTCATGAGACCACAGTTGCAAAATCTATTTTTATGTTGCGTATTGTGACCTAATTTTGTGACTCTACTCCAGAGAGAAAGAGAGAGAGAGAGAGAGGACATTTTCAAGCCTTTGCTTTTGAAAATAAACCCAGAAGTAGAACTCTTGAACTTTGAAACACACTGCTGTATATGCAAATTTCCTAACAAATTATATTGCTTTTTTCTATATATCTATATACATATACAATATATAGTAGAAAAATAGAATCACAAAAATGGCCTTTGAAAGAAAGTAATTATATTTTATGAAATAAGCTTTCAAACAAACGTATTTATACTCTATAATATTTAACGACTTTAATATACACAATTTTTATGAAATTTCAAACGTGAAGCAACTTTGAGAAAAGCTTTTCTATTTATTTCCTTCTACGATGTAGAATGATACACAATGTTTGATATATGTGTATATATATACACAATATTGTCGTGAGACTATATTTCTACATGTATATATATATATAGAAAAATAAAACATGTTTTTTTTTCTCTAAAGTGTACATGATCGCATATGCATCAAAAAAGTAAACAAAATTTCTGTTATTAAAACAATTTTTAGAATGGAAAACTTTTTCTTTATATTTGTATTCGAAAAAATTAATTTGTCGTTTATTTAAGTTGTTTTCATTATAACTGGAAGTGTAATTATTTTTTCATTTAGATGAATAAAGAGGAAAAAATTAATAAAAATGGTAAATTTTAAATAATGAATATTAAATTGTTTCGTCTACTATCGATTTCTTATTATAAATTGAAACTAATATTATTTCATAATAATTATTAAATTATTAATGATTTTATTATTTTTTCCATGCAACTTTGCAAAATTTTATTTTATTCCATTTTAATAATTTTATAACATTAAATTAAACAATCACTCAATATTTCATTACTTAAGGCGATCGAAAGATAAAATATTTAATTATAATTAATTATTTGCATTTAGTTTCTTTAAATTTTTATTAAAAATTTTTCATTCACTTTACAATTATATGATTGTCAGTTTAAATTTATTTTATCTTTGCTCTATATTAATTTAAATTTTATTTTAAATCGATTTTATTTTATTGCATTTTTAATTTAAATTAATTTTCTCTTTATTCTTTTATTCTATTATATTTATAAATTGTAATATTGCATATTAATATTATTCTATATTGATTTTATTTTTATTGTATTGTATTATTATATTATTATAATTTTATAATTTAATATTTTAGAAAAATTTTATTGTTATTTAAAATTTTATAATAATTTTATTATCACTTAATATTCTATAATAATTTTATGTTCCTTTTAATTAAAGTGGAAAAAATTTGATTGTCTCCTAATAAAATAAATATTTTCTATATCGAATTCCCGACCCAGGTGTTAATGTTTATTGAAAGGGTTCGTTACGCGTTACATGTGTTTGATTAAAAAAACAAAAAAAAATTGGTCATGTACGATTAAATTTTAAGCACTCCGATCCGTAATTAAGTTAACCAAATAGAACAGTAAATAGTTTAACAATATTGTTTTTTGTTCACTGATTTTCCTGCAAAAAATTTTCGCCTCTATTTTCTTTATCACTATAGAATTTGTTAATTTTCAAAATGAATTTCTCTCTAGTTAATGTAAATTTAATTTCAAAATTTTATTTTCGGATAAACTTTAAAGTTTAAACTATAGAATTATCAATTTTTCGAAAAAGGAAAATAAAGAAAAAAATTAAATTGAACTTGTTAACAATTAAAGATAAAAAATCACAAAAGAAACAAATTAAGTCAGTGCAAAATTTAAAAAAAAAAATATATCAATTTAAACATTTTTAAATAAGAGCCAATATTTCAATAATAAAATTTCAAAATTCGTATAAAATAAAAAATTGGAATAAAATTTTGCATCAAGTTTTTTTTAATATAATTTTCATATGCAGTAATTCCACAATTTAAATTACTTCACTCCAGTTTCGTCAACAACAATTTCACAAAAAGATGAAAATTTAAAAAAAATAGTATATTAACAGAAAATAATTTTTAAATAAATAAATAAATTTTTAAGTAAAATCAAAGTAAAAAAAAAAAATTGTAGACAAAAATTTTCGCGCGGGAAGAATTTGACCACGTGGTTTATTATATCCTACCTTGAATGTGACCAATGATCAACAAGCAGCACATCAATAAACAAGCAGGACACCCCATAATATTTGATTCTCGATCCTTTCAATTTTGAAGAAAAAAGAAAACCAGATTATTTCCAAAAATCTCACTTTTTCACGCACAAAATTGTTTCACGACAAATTTCACTTTTCATTTAAATAACAAGAAAAAAAAAGAACAATGGTAAATTTTCAAAAAAAGAAAAGTTTTTCAATTCACTAAGAACTAAAAATTTTTCAAAAATAAAAATTTTTTGCGCCAGAAAAAAAAACACATTCACACTACACGATATTTTATCGATATGTATATATATATATATATATATATATATGTATATATGTGTAAATATATAAATATATATAGAAAAGAAAACACTACCTCGCGTGTTGCAGAACCGAGCCAAACTGAACGAGTTTCCCAGACTGAACTGAAACCCCCCGCCCCCCTCCAATACGGTTACCCACCCCTGTGTTACGGTTAAGGGCTCTTCCTTACCGACAATCACATATACATATTACCTCGAACCTAGGTTTTTCATGTGTGATTGTGCCACACTTCCACCGGGCACTTCACCTGGCTTACTCCTCTAACACCTGTTACCAGCCAACACAACTTTTGACTTCCTGAACCCCTGTCGGTTATAAAGCCGGATCTCTACTGTCGACGACCCTCTCGCAAACCCCTCTCTCTCTCTCTCTCTCTCTCTCGCACTCTCTTTCCCCCCTCTCACTTATGCTATGCAAATTCCTTGCATTTTAAAGAGTGAGGTGAAAAACTTGATAGTCGATCTTTAAAATATAAAAATATTTTTTTCAAAATTATCAAACTTTTTCTTTTGTTTTTAAGTTGAAAATTTTGTTAATATTTATATTTTTTTACTATTTTTACATTATTAATAATATTAATAATATTATTAATTAATTAATTAATATTGTTAATAGAATTAAATATTATTATTATTATTAATAATAATATTATTATTATTATTAATAATAATATTATTAATATTATTATTAAGGGGAGACTTTGTCTACATTTTTAGAGGCGCATAAATAGACCCCAATTTTTATTTTCCGAATCTTTATTTTATCGAAATTCTTTTTATCTAATAAAAATTAATTTTAATTTGTTTAAATCGAAATAATAATTTACAGAAACATTATTTTTTATTATTATTATTTACTTTACCTAATATAATAATTATAATAATTTTTTTTGTTACCGAAATTGCAATTTAAATAATCTTCTATTACTCGAATTTTTAGTTTTCCTAATTCGTTTTTTACATAACATACATTTTTTAATTTGATAATTTTTTTATAGATCTACAAAAAAATATTTTCTACAAAATTATAAATGGATTTTAAAATCTATCAATTTTTGAGAAAAATAAAACTCCAAAAAGAGTTGAAATATTTTCTGACCATTGATTTCTACTCAAAAAATTACTATAAAAATAATTTTATGGAATTATTATTATTAACTATAATAATAATATTATCTTTATTTTTCAAATATAATTCAAAAATATTTTTATTAATTTAAAAAAATTATTAATGTTATTATTCATTATTTCTTTGTTTCTAAAAAAATTAGCATTTTGTAACAAACGTTTTATAGGTGATTAATAATTGTAAATCCTACAAAGTATTATCCTTTTTTTACTATGAAAAATTTAATTATTTGACAAATCGAAATTATGCAGCTATTTTTTCCTTTTTTTAAAAAAAATTTAAAAAATTGTTGGAAAATTAGAAAGTAGAAAATATTTTGCACATTTTCTGCTTCTCAATTACAATTCATAAGCAAAGTACAAGTTTCAGAAAAAAATTGTTATAAATGAAATTTTGTTTAAGAAATTTTAAATTCATTTTGGAGAAAATATTTACAAAATTTCTATTTGTTAAAAACGATTGTAAAATAATTCGAATATTTGAATAATTTGAATGATAAATATTCAAATCTAAAGTTTTAACTGAAATTAATTTTTAAATCAATTTTTACTAGAAAATTCTACGAGAATTCAATTATTTAAATGAAAACAAAAAAAATTAATTGAATAATTAAATATTTCTTAAAATTGAATCCTCATAAAGAATTTTATTAAAACATTTTTAAATAATTGATTTCTTTTGACGATTTTTAATAAAATTTTTAAGAATAATTGCATTTTTCGAGGAATTCGATTAAAATTGTATAAAACATAATTGAAATTCTGCGATGAGTTTTATTTATAAAAATAAATGAATTCCTAAAACGAATTCTATTATTTATGAAAATAATTCAATTCCTGTAAAAATTTTTATTATTTATTGAAAATAATTAAATTATTTAGGAAGAAAAAAAAAATTTTATTAAAAATTTTTGAATAATTGAATTTTGCCAAGAATTTTATTAAAATTTTTAAAAATAATTGAATTTTCGAAAAGAATTTGAGTACTTTTGAAAATAATTTAATTTTTGCAATCATTTATAAATTTTCTAAAATTCAATTTTTTGTAGTGTTTTTGAGTAAAATTGTAAATGCAACTTTAGGAAAATTTAATTAATTTGTAAAGCAGCATTATTTTTTTTATTTTTTGAAATTGACAAATATAGTAATTTGTATTGCAATTTTTAATTTAATATTCAAATTTAATTATAGATTTCCTTTTCCACGATTTAATATTTTGATATCAACAGAAAGATATGAATGTCAATTAGCATTCTTGTCAAATAAACCAAATGAACTTTTTTAATTAAACATTAAAATATTTAAAGTACTTTAATAATTTATTGTATAATTTGTGAAATTATACAATAACTAACAGAAACACAAATTATGAAGCATTGTAACTAATTTTTGATTGATACAACAATATATTCTTTTTACTTTTAATGGAATTAGAATAAAATTTCAAATACAGAATTTTTCCTACAATTTAAATTATTGCTTACTAGAAAAAATTGATAATTTTTATTTTTTAGTAAATAAATATCTTAAAAAATATTTTCAATCTACAGCAAAAATAATATAATTAAATCCAAAATAAAGGAAAAATAAACAAGAATAAATGAGAATTTTTTCAATTCGAAAATATTTATTTTTAAATCAATAATTTCGTACTTTAATGTTTATTCACAAACAAGAAGAACTCCACTTCTATTAAGTATTTTGTGAGAGTAATAAACATTTTTTTTTTGTTGATTTATTTTTCCTTCCATGAAAATTAACAGATAAGTGTCTTTTTCACAATATTTATGAATATAGAGTTTACCTCCTCATTTCTTTCAAACTTCATCTGAGTTTTGCTTTCGAAAAAGCGAGATGAGATCATGAACCGAATGCAACCCAGCCAGAGATATTTCTGGAGCACTTCTGGTTCCTTCTCGGAAATACAGCTTAGACGCATCGTCGAAGATATCGAAAGTTATTCAGGTCACCATCATACCTCACTTTTATATATTTTTATTGGCGAAAATACTCAAGAGCTTACGTATATAATATATATATATATATATATATATATACATAAAATTATATATATATTGAGCTTCACATTTTATATCCGAAATAACGTTAAATTTAAGAATAGAACTTTATAAAAGATTTTAAGCTTCCCATTGAATAAAATCTCTGTTCATTTTTTTTCAACTTCACAAAATCTTGTTTATTTCCTCATAGTGCATATTTTTTTTCTTGCTTTCCCATCTTTTGCATACTTTAACTTTTCTTTTTTTTCTCTTTCACTTTTTTCTCCACTTTTTGTCGGAAAAATATATTTTCAATATTAATATTTTTATAATTATTCATTTATTTACTAATTATTACTTTACGTATTTTTTATATAGAATAAAATAGAATTTTATGTCTTGATGCTACAATTATCATTTATGGTTGGAACACCTTTTGAACTTTGTTATTCCCCTACTTTTTACACTCAACGAACAATATTTTAATTATTTTTAATTTTTGCTGTAATAATGATTTAAAATAAAGTATCATTTTAAGAACTTTTGATCTCAATTTTTCCTTTTTTTTTTTCTTTTTGAATAAATGCTGAAAAGTTTGTTTTTGAATACCTAAAGAATTGAGTTAAATACTTAATTACATCTTGTTATAGGATTTGGCTTTAGTTCTGTGCAGTTATTTGCATTTGCAAGTTCTCTACATTCGTTTGTGAGTAAACCATATATAGAAAATAAAAATATATATATTTTTACTTTTAGACACCTCGCAGGTTTCGTAATATACACATAAATAGAAAAAAAAGTCGGCTTTGACTTTGACATGCAATTAAAAGTGCATTTTCCGCTTGGTAGACATTTTTCAAATTCAATGCTCCTTGTGCAATTACCAGTCCGGCAAACACGGCCAATGCAAAAAGGGTTGTAAACCCCGTTATGTATATAAAACATAACAGAAAGTTAGCAGCACGTGCGCAAACTTTATTAAATCTTGCAATGCACTTATATTCGATTCCTTCAAAGTGAGAAGAAATTTCGTTTCAAAATAAAATAAGAAAAAAAAATAATAATAAAATTATTGAAATAATCAAATAAATCATGAATAACTGAATAATCGTGAAATTAAGTAAATTTAAATTAAATACAGAAGTAGAAAATTAAATAAATTTAAATTAAATACAGAAGTGAAAAAATTAAATAAATTTAAATTAAATTAACAGTCCGAAAAATTAAATATTAAAAAGTAACTACTATTCTGAAAGTAAAAATTATTATAACCTTTTTTCAAAAAAATTTTGAAATCTTAAAGATAGTTCATTGGTCTAAGGCCTTTTTGCAAGTCATCAAAAAGTATTGCCTTTCTAATCTTTCCATCTTTCTGAAAAGAATTCCTCAAGAAAATAGAAATTTAAAGAAAAAAATTCTTGAAAATATTTTAATATTAAATAAAATATTTTAATATTAAATAAAATATTTTAATATTAAATAAAATATTTTAATATTAAATAAAATTAAAATAAATCAATAAATTAACATTACTCACAAAAAACAATTTTTTTTCTATGTTACAAAAATGTAGAAGTATTTTAAAAAAAAAGTCGAGAGTAAAATAACATTTTGACGAATTTACGGTTGAAAATTTGGACATTTCCATTTTTTTTCGCTTTCTTTCATGCAGGCTGAATTTATATGGAAAAGTAACTTTGTGCACACATGAAACGTGACATTTTATTCACTCAAAAAAAAAAAAAAAAAAAAAACTTATATTTGACGAGGCGTTAGGTATTTGATTCTTAAATTTCAATATGTGGACGATTCAAGGGTCCGAGAGGAAAAAACTAATAACGTTTTCTAGTTTGCTGACCTTCGACGAGAGAGAACGCGAATAATAATCCAGTGTGTTTAAAGATTTATACACTATGCCTCTGCTTTTTTTTTATTACCTCCCCCTTTTTCTTTGATAAATA